CGGAGTTGGGGGGAGTCCCCTCCAATCGCGTCCAAATGTGCTTGCTGCGGACGGAAAGTCGTCTGTCTCAACCGGCAGCTCTTGGAGGGCGGGTTTGCTAAGGACCCTCTGCTGACAACCTAGGTCGCAGGCAGGGGCCTGGGAGGGGAAGGTACACAAGGACGTTGGCCTGGGTGATAGGCGACTCCATACACGGGTTCCACGTCTCAGCTGGGGACAGCCCCCGGAGCAGAAGGCGAGAGCCCTGACAAGACAGGGTTTTCCCAACACTCTCTGGAATGTTCTAACACCCACCCACCCGCCCCGTAAAATGTCGCAGCACTCTGACATCTATTGTGGTTTTTGTGCCTCCCGAGTCTGGCAAGGAAGACACAGCTGGGGCAAAAAGCACGGAGAGGTGAGTGACAGGTCACATAGCTCAGGGCACAGAGTCCTTTAGCTCCAGGACCAATTCTCCGGCCATCCTCCCGGCCATCACCCCCAGGCACGGAGCCCCGCCCAGCTGGAGTCTGCCGCACACACAGAGACCCTCGGACCCCGTGCACACCCGCCGCAAAGCCCACGCCAGAGGGGCAGGCCCCGCCACCCGCTGGCCTCGGTGCCGGCGCTGCTCTGACCCACAGCGGACCCCAGGGACCTTCACAGCCGGAACCTCGCCTCGGCGGCAGCAGGGAAGATGCTCCCCCCACTGCCTCCGTCCACTGCCTTCCTGCCGCCCTGCAGGGATTCCAAGCCCGCAGCGGGCAGGCTGGGCGGGCCAGCCTGGGAGGGAAGCCCGGGCTTTCCTGTGCTTCTCTAGGGAAGAGAGGACGCAGCTGTATGGCCCGATGGGCACGCTCGGCGGCCCGGAGCCGGCGTGGGAGGAGGATGTGACTAACGGAGCAGGCATGTGACACGGGCGTCCCAGCCCAGCCGTTTGAAGACTAAACTGAATCGATTGAGAATTTAATTGCTCCACAATCGCTGAGTAAACACTGGCTGGTCCACTGATCGTGCTTCGGGCCCATCTCAGCCGCTGGGGGGAGGCGGGCAGAGGTGGACAGGCTCTGGCTGTGCGGGTGCAGAGCTCTCCTGGCAGGGCACCCTTCCTCTTCCTCGGGGCGCGGGGCTGAGACTCAGGCCCAGAGCGCCGAGCGGCAGACAGCCTCCTCCGTCCGGCTGCTTAGGGTGAAGGACGTGAGCTGCACGGCCCTGCCACCCACTCTGGGAGGGACTGGATCGGGCAGGAGGCTCTCTAGAGGGGAGCAGCACCCTTAGCAGAAATGCAGGCTGCAAAATCTTTTTTTTTTTAATTTTGGTGGGGGAGGAACGTAAAACCCAGTGCATAGAAAAACAAAACACTCGGAGGCTACACACTAAAATATTAACGGCAGTTAATTCCATATCATGGGATTCAATTTTTATTTTCTTCTTTATACTCTGTATTTTCCACGTTTCCAACAACCAGCATGTTTAACGTAGAATCAGAGTAAATAGATGCTATTTAAGATCAAATGAAACGGCTGGAAAGACTTCTCTTGAGCTCTTAAAAAAAAACCAAGAAAATCCTGGCTGCAGCCCTGCGGGAAGAGGTTGCCTTTGGAGTCGGACCCGCGACCCCTCCCAGCTCCAGAACCCACTAGCAGGGCCCCTGCAAGACGCCTGACTACTCCCGTCCCCACTGCCTACCGGCGAATGAGAACATCGATCTCCCCGAATTAAGTGAGATAAATACTGAGCGAGCTCTGCACGGCGGCCCGGCATGTTCAGGAAATATTCGCGTCTCTTCCGTCTGGGAGTGAGGGTGGGGAGCGTGAGCCGCGTGAAGAGCAAGGACCAGAGTGACCCAGTTTAGCGGCTGAGCCCAGAGGCGCAGGCTCCCAGAGCCCTGACTCCCCATGCCTCAGCCCCCTCTGTGCCCCGCCCCCACCGCCGCCCCCTCCCACGATCTAATACAAGGCAATCTTCCTCCTCTTCCTCCTCTCTGCCCCATTACCACCCACGGGGACAAACGGGCTGCAATTCTGCCTGATGCTGGGAGGAGGCTGGCCAGCTCCGACATTGTTCAGAATGTCACCGAGAGCCTGAAGGGGAGGGGAGCCGGACCGGAAGTGGGGCTGCAATTACTGCCTGTTCCAAAAGCCCCGTCATTAGCTACAGCAGGGAGGGGGTGGGGAAGGGCCACGACCAGCTCCTGTGCCCCTGGGGAGACAGCCTGGCTCCAGTTGCCAGGCTGGCTGGCTGCTGGGGAGGGGCACCCCCCTGGCTTCCGCCTGAGGCTGTCACTTGGCAGGCACAGGTTTTCCGCCTAGGGGAGAGTGGGCGACAGGGCACAGGGAGCCCGTAACTCTACCTGGCCTCCAGCCTCACAGAGCTCTGCCTGCCCCGTAGCTGCTCCACTGCGCGCAGCTTGCAGATGCCACCGCTCCCCGCCACGGCACCAGCTTCCAGATTTGCTCAGTTTCAGGTCTTCCCACTTGTGGGAGCGGCACCCCCTGGCAGGCTCCAGGCCCTGACACCAACCCCAACTACTCCTCCACAGGGTGCCGTGGGCTGCGCTCTCCCCCGGCCCAGTCTCTGGGAGGGAGCAGAGCTTCCTCTGGGCTGAGCAGCATCTCTGCTGCTCAGAGATGCGCAGCCACCGCAGCCTCCAGCTGAGAAGGCTCCCAGCCCGAGGCTTGCAGCTGGACAGGGAGGGGACAGACGAGGTTCTGACCTCGGCCTCAGCCAGATTGCAGAGGAAGGGAGGACAGAGCTCCCGAGGCTGGCCGAGTCCTCAGGCCAAAGGCCCTGAGAGCTGATGGGTTTTGGATTCCTCGTTGGGGTCTCCTGCAGAGAGGAGCTGGCTGGGCTGCTGGGAAACCACACTGACCAGTGGGCAGGAGCTGGCTTGTCTCAGAGCTCCACGGCCCAGGCCAGGACCTCCTCGGGATGGCCTGAGGGCCTGGGGACCCACGCACCCTGCGCCAGCCTCCACCACCTGTCAGACAGGGACATGTTCTACTAGAGGACCTCTCCGGGAAGTCTGGGCTATGCTCTCTGGAGGAGGGACACCTGGGCCAGGGGAAGGGACGAGGGGTCGAGAAGGGGCCACTGGTGGGGCTGGGAGCGGGGAGGCCAAGTCTGACGGGGGAAGACTTATCTGAGGGTGACTTCCCCGGAAAAGCCAAGAGCAGACGGCGGCTGAAGCCCTGGACCATACTGGGGACAGGTCTCCCCGCCTCTCCCGGGGGAAGGCTGCAGCAGGCGTGTGTACCGGCCCCTCCATGAACCACCACTCAAGAAAATCTCCTGCCTCCCGCCCTCCCTCCCCAGAGCACCTCCAGCCCCCGAGTGCAGCACCCGCACCTCCAAGGAGAAGGCAAACAGCAAACCTCTTGGAAACGAAGATAGTGGGTTTCCCGCCATCCACCCCAAACCTTGGGAGGTAACCCTACTCCCTGGGAGCCCTGCTCCACAGCTATCTCCCTGCTGGGTGCTGGGGGGCCGCCTCCCTCCCACCCCTTCCCACTGGGAGCCTGCGGGGCAAGCAAGCCGGGGGGGCCCGCCCGGGAAGAAGGGGCAGGGCCACCCCGAGGGGCGGCCGCTGCCGTGGGCCCTGCCAGGCCTGGGCTTCTCCATCCTCACTGAGGCCGGCCGCTGGCGTAGGAGCAATCAAATGTTCCTTGGATTGAGTTGGGGGGATGGGGTGGGGGCAGGCTGGGCAGCTTTTTTTCCTCCTCCTCCTGCCAAGCAGGGACATTTTCAGGAAGGAGATGGGCAGTGGTGGCTCGTGGCGTGGAGACAGGGCCCTCAGGGTCGTCCCCGTATCACCCGCCTTCCAGATCCCACTCTGGCCTCTCTCCTTTTCTCTCCCACTGCTTCATCTCCCATTTCTCTTCCTCCGTCTCACCTCCCCGTGAGCCGTTTTCCCTCTGAGGGTGTCCTAACGCCCCACTAGATGGGGAGCTTCTCCAGGGTCCCAGGGGGCCCAATCTGTCGTTATGTCCACGAACTCAGCGCGGAGAACACCCAGAGCGTCCACTCAGCACTCGCTCCCTCCCTTTTGCCTCCTGCCTTCAACCTGGTCGGTCCGAGGCAGCTCCCACCTCCCCAGCCTGGACTGCGGGACCCTAAGGCGTGCGGCCTCTCCCGGGCCCAGGAAAAAGAAAACCTGCCTGGTCTGACCTCACTGCGCAGCTGAGAGGCTCAGCGAGACGCTGTGTGGCGAGACCAAGCCCTTCCTCCCCCAGACAGGGACACTGAGGCCGGGGCAGTGATGTCACTTGCTCCACGCCATTCCTACAGTGGGACACGGAGTGGGGCAGGTTTTAGGCCAGAGTCCAAGCAAAGTAAAGAACTCGCCGAGAAGAGAGAAGTGTGCAGAACAGAGACAGAGATGCGGTGGAAAGGAGAAGTGAACAGAGCGCGAGAGACGGCACCCACGGGTCACGGTGCGGCCGGCGTGGCAGGGCAAGGGCACGCGGGAAGCACAAGGGCAGGGGCGGGCTGAGTGCGGAGGGACTGCCGGGACCGGAGGCAGGAGGAAGAGGGGGGATGGATGACCGGGACAAACAGAGGGACAGGCTCAGCACAGGACCCCAGGGCTGGGAGGGCCTCTTGGTGAATCGGTCCCCTTGTCCCCTTTATGGGAGCAGAGAGAGTGACAGGAAGATATCGATCCTGGGGATACTGGAAGATATTCCTCTACCGGGGATGGAGGAAAGCCGGGCACCCTCCAAGGGCCGCCACCCCCATGTGAGAGAGACGTACACGTTACAGATACCAGCAAACGGATTTCCCACGCTGCTTTCAAACACTGTGTTTCGCACGGGCCGTGGAAGCACGGAGAGCAGTTTGGGATCTCGACCACAGGGGGAAGGGCCTTAGAAGCTGGGAAAGGCTCATGGGGGTCCAGAGGCAGGAAAGAGGAGGGAGGTCTGAGGAAGGAGGTAGAAGCAGACAAAAGCGCAGGGCAGGAGGCCTCCCGGCGCGGCGGAGCAGGGAGGCTGGGTGCGGCAGGGAGGGGGCACGGTTCCCACCTTGGGGAGGCCAGGTCGGAGCACTTCTGCTCGGCGTCCGCGGCGGGGCAGCAGAACTGGTGCAGCACGGTCTCGTTCCTGCGGGCACAGCACAGGGAGAAGGTCAGAGGCAGGCAGGGCCCGCTCCCCTGAGACAAACGTAGTTCTGCCCCGAAACCTCACTGCCCCTCCCCTGCTCCTGGGCCCCTGTGTAGCGGGAGGCAGCCAAACGCTGCCCTGGGATTGGGCGCAGCACGGACTCCCTGTCCACCCGTCTTTTTCGGTCCCCCTCAGGCCCAAGTCACAGGCCCCTCCCGCGCGGAGCCTCACCACCCTCCTGGAGCTCAGTCTTCCCACTTCCGCAGCGCCATCCGCGCAGGAGGCTCTGGCACGTGGATTTACCGTTTGCCCCACTCGGTCTTTTCTCACAGTTGGTTCTGAGTGACCCTGTGCCTCCCTAAGGTCCTGCAAGGCAGAACTGGGTCCATTCACCCAGGACGCATGGAAATGCACACAGTGAACACGTCTAAGCTGAACATTTGCAAAGACACGGGCATCCAAACAGGACCTCCGTGTGCCCAGCTGGAAATCGCAGGTGTCGTGCTTGATGGGGACTGTCTGATGGAGATGAAAAGGCCCAGGAGGCAGAGATCTGAGCTCCAGTCCCAACCCCGCAGCTGGCCAGTCGGCTGTGTCACACGCAGTTCACGTCTTCTGGGCCTCGTTATTTACTAATGAAATCTTGGTGGAAAGGAGAAAATTTGGTGGAAAGGAGAAGGGAAGTGAAGAAATAAGGGAGCTGAACTAGAGAAGTGGTTCTCAACCCTAGCTGCGTATTAGAATCACCAGGAGGTTTTTAAAAAGCACAGATGAGATCAAACTCTCGCTCTCTGCTGATGATATGATATTATATCCAGAAAACCCCAAGGATTCATCTAAGAGACTCCTAGAACTGATAAATGAATTCAGCAAAGTCTCAGGATACAGAATCAATACACACACAAATCTGTGGCATTCATATATGCCAACAACAGTCAAGCCAAAGATCAAATCAAAAACGCAATCCCTTTTACAACAGCCTCAAAGAAAATTAAATACCTAGGAATATATTTAACGAAAGATGTGAGAGACTTATACAGGGAGAACTATGAAACGCTAAAAAAAGAAATTGTAGAAGGTGTAAACAGATGGAAAAACCTACCTTGCTCATGGATTG